CCTCCTGGGGATCTTGAGGAAGACACTTCCTATTCTGAGCCCAGGTAGGAAAATGTCTCTCTTCATCTGAGGTGAGGCCAGAGCCTTTCCCTCAGCCAGACAATGGCTCCTCAGGAGGGCCCAAAGGTCTTTACATGTTTTGTTTAGTGTTTTGGTGATACTGAAGATTGAACCCAGGCCCTTCACACTGAGCTACCCGGCCCTTTTTATTTTTTATTTTGAGGTAGAGTCTCACTAAGTTCCCCAGGCTAAAACATGCAATCCTCCTGGCTCAGCCTCCAGAAGTGCTGGGATTATAGTCGTGTCCCACTGCACCTGGCTCTATAGTTTTCTTTTTTAAATACTCTATTAAATATCTCTTTAAAAATGAAGTATCATTCTAGAAAAGAAATGACCAATGAGCCAGTTGAGTTTGAGTGAGCAGTCAGAGCGGGAAGACCTCACTGAGGCAGGACAAGGATGAAGCTGTTGGCCTTAGGAGGAGGACCGAGAATGAGGCAGGCAGCAGCAGCCAGGAGGTTGCTACGCTCGGGGTCAGAACTGGGTTGGGGCTGGCCGGGCAGGGCTCCCACCTCGCTGTTGATGTGGCAGCAGAGTTGAAGGCTACTGAGGAGAAAGTCCCTGTAAGATCCGGTGGCTGTGGGAAGGCTGGGGAGGTGGGGAGAAACAGGGGTGACCCCCAGGTCTCCGGTGGGGACCACTGCGTGGCTCGTGGTGCCATTCACTGGCCAGGGAGCAGGGACGGGGCAAAGATGAGTCAGAGCTGGGACACAGCATCCAAAGATGTGTGCACTGATGCCCAACAGATATTCAGAGGAGTGGGCAGCTTAGGGTGCTGGGGACGGAACCTGGGGACACCCATTAATAGGTCAAGGAAGGGGCTGAGTGCCAGGGGTAGGAGGAAAATCCAAAACGCAGAGAGGCAAATGATCAGGAGGAAAAGGCAGCAGAAAACCAGTGGCAGCCGCGAGGCAGGACCCGAGCAGGGAGGAAGGTGGGATGGGAGGCAAGGGCAGGAGGCTGCCGGGAGCCAGGAGCGGCCTTTTGTGCGGTTTCTGTGAGCTGTGCCCCCTCCCCGCCCACGCGGCCTCTCAGCTTTCATCCCGCGGAAGCAGGTCCTGGGAAGGAAAGGCCTGGGAGGAAGAAAGCCCCCAGGCTGGGCCCACGAAGGAGGCCCCAGAGCCTTGGCACAGGGATCCTGCCTTTGAATCCCGGCTGTTCAGAGCTTAATTAGCAAGTAGCTCAGGGGCACCCAGTCTCCTCATTCAGAAGAGGATGGGGCACCATGGAAACCTCGCCCAGGCTGCTTGGCAGGTGCCCGCTAATAGGGTCACCCCCAAGGCTGAAGGTGCTTGCCAAGGGCCATTGGTTGGCGCCTACGCAGAAAGTCCAACCTGTCCCCATCCTCTCTGCTCAGATTCCAAATCCAACAGCAGTCCCCAAAGGAACCGCAGGGGGTCACATTCTTCTTTTTTCTACGTCCCCTGGGGCTTGGAAGAATGTCCTTTTAAAAACTGTCTTGGTGGGAACTCGGAGTATTTCACAGTGTTTAAAGCACGCTCACCCAGGTGTGAGGGTACAGGCACTCTGGGAGACTGGGGCAGGCCTGCAGGTTCAAGCCTAACCTGGGCAACTTAATGATTTCTTGAGACCCTGTCTCAAAATTTAAAAAAAGCTGGGCATGTGGCTCAGTGTGAAGACCCTAGTCTCAATCCCCAGGACTGTAAAAGGAAAAGAAAAAAGAAAAAAAAGGCATGCAACTTCTAGACGAAGCCGGAGAATTCCCAGGAGCACTAGTGGGAGTGATGACAGGGCTCCTGAGTGAGTGGGTTTGCACACTCCGTATCTTTACATTTTACTTAGATCCCCAGGCCCAAGGCCCCAGGGTAGACCTTACCTCTCTCCTTTCTCCTGCCAGTTCCAGCTGCGAAGTCCCCGGAGGCCATCTTTGCTCTGCTCCCAGCCTGAGCCCCCTGGAGGATCATAGCCCTTGGCTGTGGTGCCTGTGGCTAGTGGCTGGGACGAAGCATCCATCCTCACAGCCCCTCCGGGCCCTGCCAGCTCCTCTGTGAGAAGTTTCCACATGAGCCATTTGCCATGGGCCTCACAGCCAACATACGAGTCGCTACTGGGCTTTAAGCAAGCTGGAGTGAGCAGGACCCAAGGACTCGGGGAGGGCAGCTGGTGGGGAGAGAGCCACTGGACACCTGGTCTGTGCAAGAATCACAGAGAACATGACCCAGATACCAGCTTGTTTCCCCTCCCCTCCCATTCCCTTTCCCCCTTTCCCCCTAATCTCTCCTTTCTCTTTCTTGTCATTGCCCGTTTCGTTCCTAAATTATTCCTTTCCTGTTCCTGAAACAAAAATTAAGCAGCAGTTGGAGAAACTCCCTCATGTGCACACACTTTTGTTTCTTGATGCTCAAGTGCTCTCTCATATCTAAGGAATAGAAATGCAGGGAGATGCGGTGTTACGAGGCGGCAGAGAGCAGCTCAGTCCCCGCGCCACGCTAGGGCTGAAGTAAGACGCATTAAGCCCCAGGAACGGGGTTCCTGCACCAGACTGACAGTCACGGAAAGGAAAGACTGATGAACAATCTAAACACCCGCAAGACAACTGGGCCTTTACAAAGGCCAGAAACAAGTGGCACAGGAATGAGAATCCGGTTCCTTCAAAAGATGCATATGTGAATTAGGTACAAGACGGAAACATAAGATGCCAAAGGCCTACTGATCAACCCACCCTAACTTTCCTGCCCCCCTCCCCCAGCATTAGGGATTGAACTCAGGGTCTTCATACTGAGCTACATCCCCAGCCATTTAAAGTTTTGAGACAGGGTCTCACTAAGTCACTAAATCACTCAGGCTAGGTTTGAACTTGTGATCCTCCTGCCTCATCCTGCCAGTGTGCTGAGATTACAAGTGTGCGCCACCATACCTGGCTTCCTGAGCCATTTTGAGAGTTTCACATTCCTGTCAGGCCTAGTTTGCATTCAACAGGTGGCCGGCACGGTGCTGGCACGGTGCTGGCACTGCCAGCAGGCTCCTGGGCACTCAGGGAAGTGGGAGCCTGGAGACACAGCCAACTCGGGCCCATGGCAGGGTTTGTGTCAACTCTCTGGTCCTCTGTGAGTCTCTGAACCACACGAGAGCGAACCCAGCTTCCGACATCCGAGGAAGAATTTGCAATTAGTTTAGACAGGTTATAATGGAATTTTTATTTAGATCTTAAAGGTTATAGTGCTTTCCACAGAAGGTATTTATAGCTTTAAAGTAAAGCAAAGCTCCGCTGTACTGATCTCAGTAGATCTGTGCTGGTTGGGCTGTCTTTAATAATGCCACTGGTCTTGCAGGGAAGGTTTTAGTTCATCCAAGGGATTGTGAGCACAGTCCTCATTTCCCTTGTCAGGAGACAAAAATAGATATTCATCAGACAGAACCCAGCCAGCACAAGCGGGCAGGATCATTCAACCAAAGTCTCTGTAACATAGCCGAACCAGCCCACAAAAAGCCCCTCATATATCAAGCTACTTTGTCCAAGCACCAGGCCCTGGGCCCTGGGAATTTAGCCCTAGCTGGCTCTGCCCACTAATCTCACGGTCAGGTCACCCATCCCAGGTCACCCATCTGGAGCATGGGGTGGCGGTGGCCTTGGTGGCTTCCTGTGGCCTCTCCTCTCTGTGGGAGACCACTCAAGCCCTCTCCCAACACAGGAACTTGCTGCAGAGTTCTCTTGGAAGCCACCCACCACAGGATTTGTGGCCCACGCACAAACACACTTCACTTCTGCTTTTTTTGCATGTCAGGGCTGCCTGGCTGTCCCAGCCCCCTCCCTGCACTTCCTCCTCAGCTGCATCTGGTGGGCTGATGCATCCCAAGGGCTGCTGAGGGCCATAGCCCTGCCTGGGTGCATCTCTATAGTCACCTATCCTCCTCAGAAGAAAGACCCAATAGTCCATCCTGTTCCTGAGTCTGTGGTGTCTGCTCCCTCCCTGTCTTGGGGGACAGAAACAGTGCTGGGTCCTGCAGGAGCTGGGTCCTGAGCCAGCCAACCTCTTGAGCATCTCGGCGGGATGCATGGTGGACTCCAGTCAGGACCTCCACGGAGCACGAATCTGGGCCGGGGCACAGGTAACCACTGGCTCTCCTAGAGGTCCATGCTGTCAGTGTGAGGACTACAGGTGTGGCTTCTGCCGTGCAGTGCAGCCAGGTCTGGCAGATTTTCACATCTTTGTTAGTGCTTATTTAAAGGGCCTGGGATGAGGCAAGTGTGGTGTACACCTATAATCTCAGCACTCTGGGAAGCTGAGGCAGGAGGATGGCGAGTTCAAGCCCAGCCTGGATAACTTAGTGAGACCCTATCTCCTATAAAAAATAAAAAAAGGGCTAGATATGTTCAGTGTGAAGGTCCTGGGTTTAACCCTCAGTAGCACAAAAACAACGAAGCTGGACTACTCATCGGCCTGTGGCAGAGGGTAAAATTTTGCGACTGTTCTTTAAATTCAAGGTGATGTGGAGGTGTTGCAGCGAAATGAGGGCAGAGTGAGTGACGCATGACACTCAACACCCCCACCAGAGCTGCACACACCTGGGCCTGCTTTCGCACTTAACCTGTGAGGTTGAGGTCCCTGCCCCTTCTAGTCTCCCTAGGGATGTCTTCCTTGCTACCTTCCAAAGCCCCACGCACAGCCCCCAGCTGGCCTGGCCGTGTACCACGCATAGCCCCAGTGGGCCAGGCCTAATGTGGGGATGCGCATCTCCCTGACCAAGCACATGAAGTGGGGCCTGTCTTACTGAGCAGCCCCAGTATAGGAAGATAAAGTTGAAGGCCATCCCAGGCCTCTTCTGCTGAAGCATCCCTAGATCCCCAACCCCATGCACTAGACACACCTGTTGCTTTGTGGGAAAGCAGTGAGACATGCTGTCTCAGCAGAAGGCCCTGAGTGACCAGCCCTGGACATCAGCTAAACACACTGTTGAGGGACTGTCATTTACTGAGGTAGCTTAAAGACAGAATGTTTGCTTTTAATAGATTAGCAATGTCCCACCAAAAGAGGCAGGCAGAAAAATGCACATATTTACGATTCTCGGGAAACTCAAGTGCAGGGCCCAATGTGGATCTTGTCCTTAGCTCGGCCTATTGGTCAGGCCCCTGCAGGTCATGTGCACAGGGCGGCCTCGCTGTGCAGACACTGCCCAAGCCGGTGTCCTGCTTTGTTCCCTGTAGCTTCTCCTGAAGCTGACTTGCTTGCCTGGCCTGAGGCAGGAATGTCCCCCAACCCACCTTCCCTCAACCCCATAACCTAGAACTTGGGCTGCAGTTCTGTAACGTAGAAATGTCTTCTGCTAGCAGCTGAGACAGAGCCAAGGTCCACCCCCCGCCACTGTGCAGACACAGGGGTCACCTGTGTCACCCTCTTACATTTTAGTGTGTGGTCCTGAAGCTCGGAAGGACAGCGTGCATCACCAGGGAACAGGTGTGAGGGGTGAAAGGAAGGCGGGTCTACAGAGGCCCCCGTCAGCCAAGAAACAGTCAGTTCAGTGCGGAGGACAAAACTGATGCAGTGCCCACAGATCCAATACAGAAAACCAACCAGCCAGGGGCCTGCAGTTGTTTTGCACAGGGCTAGGTGGAGAGAGGGGCAGGGCAGCAACCTGTGGCCAACTCGGACCACCCCAAGCTGCACAGGGAAGGCTGCCTGGTGGAAAGGCTTAGGGATGCTGTTGGGGGAGGTGCTCAGGAGGGGTTAAACTGTCCTAAGGGACAGACCCCTCCGGCTCACTGCAGAAGAAGCTAACATAAGCTCTCTCCTTAGACAGCGGCTGATGTTGGGGAGAAGTTCCTGCGCCCCAAGTGCTGGAGCTGAGGCTGGCCATCCACAGGCATTCTACAGAGGGCACTTAGGTTGCTCCTGCACCTGGACACCCTGAAACCCTGCCCAAGCCAGAGCCTTTCATCTTGGCCCATATGAGGCTCATCTTCTGACAGAAGCCGGGAGAGGCCAAAGCTGTGGGGTCCTCAGAAGAGCTCCACAGCCATCACCTGGAGATGCCGTTGCTGAAAGGGCAGCGCGCCCCACAGAGGCTTCTGCATATCGAGGGTGGCAGGGCTGTCCCTAGCCCCACAGTGGAACCCAGCCCCACCCTGAGACTTCGGCCTGCCTCCTCGCCCGGCTCCCATCCCTATCTGGGTTGACCCCAGAGGCTACGGCCCCTGCCCTGGTCCAGGGAACCATGTGCTGCTGCTCTGCGGTCACTGCCCAGGCTCTGCAGCGTCTGTTCCTCCAGGGACCAACCCCACCAGACCCCTCCCTGGGAAAGGCAGCTGTGGGCACCCAGTGCTTCTGCTAGGCTGGTGGGTGAGGTCAGCGCTGGACGGCCATGGTGTCACAGGGTAAGGACAGGTGGTGTCACGCTGGCTCCTGAAAAGGCAGCTCCTCACAGGTCAAGGTCAAGCAGTACATTGCTGGAAGACCACGTGTCTTTGTAGAGCCCTGTGGGTGCCCCTGGGTTGTGGCGGATGTGCTTGTTGTCTCTGAAAGCCACCATGTGGACAGGAGATAAAGAGAGTGATGCAAGAGAGTGGCCTCTCCGGGAGGGTGAAATAAAGGCCACCAGGATTCCTTGGAGGACAACAAAGCAAAGCCAAGGTGTTTAGGAGGGATGGTTCTTCCCCAACAAGAGACACAAGCGTCCCAGTTTGGGTTACCACATCCTCTAGAGCTGCTTTGTCCTTTCACCCTGGTGACCATCATCATTTGGAGACAATGATTAGGGGCCTAGAATGGGGAGGGGTTCTTCTTCGTGGGCAGAGATGGCACGATGACAATGTCATCAGAGTCGTCGGAGTAGATATCTTCCACAGGCTGCGGCACTGTGGGCTGCAGCCCCAGGAGACAGGGCTCTGCTGAGATAAAAACAGAGATGTTGGTCAGGGCTGGCAGCATGGACACACACTGTCAGCAGCTCCCAAAGACAAGGCCAATGTTTTGGCCAGGACTGAGCTCAGGGGCAACCTTCAGAACCAACATACACTCTGCCAGAAAGCCCTCTTGGATCTCCCAGCTGGGAATAGTTCGGCTATTTCCTGAAATCAAAGCACCTGGGAAAGGAATCTGGACCTGGACCTGCAGCAGGCACTTGTGCAGACAAGGCCACCTGTGTGTCAAAGCCAGGCCTGGCCAGAGGTGAGGCTCCCAGGCTGCATGCCAGGACAGGCAAGGAGGCAGGACCAGGCACAGTGGTTCCAAGGCATCAACTATGGTAAGCTTCCCCTATTTTCTCTTCTTTTTTTTCTTTTTTTTGTGGCACTGGGGATTGAACCTAGGTCTTTTGCAGTGAGCTCCATCCCAGCCCTTTATTTTTTGTTTTGAGATAGGGTCACATTAAGTTGCTAAGTTGCACAGCCTGGGCCCACACTCGCCATCCTCCTACTTCAGCCTCTCAAAGTGCTAGGATTACGGCCTGCACTAACACACCCAGCTACATTCTTCACACCAGAATAAGGTACCACCTCCAGCCCGATGTGGGCAGCAACCCCACTGGCTCCCTTGGGGTGGGTGGGGGCCTAAAGGGCAGTGAATGCACAGCAGCTTCCCCCGTGATTTCTGGGCAGAGCCAGACCCACCCCAACCTGAGCTCTGAACAAGGAAGGAAATTACAATTCAGCCACACAGCAGATGAGACAGCTGCATCAGCTTTTTCCCTGTAATTTTCAAGAAAATCAATACGAAAGTGGAACCTTAGAAATTAAAAATTTTTCAAGATTATTTTCATTTTCTTCTCTTTAAAAACACAATCAGCTCAACCAGCAGCTTGACTGACATGTTTCATGTAGACAAGTGACTTTATTTTGGCATATGGTGATGTCCAGAGCATTTCTGTCCCACCAGGTATGGACAGGTAGGTGAATCTGATGCTTCAAAGTCACATTTAGCAAGAGGAGGATAACCAGGTGTGGTGCTGCATGTCTGTAGTCCCAGCACGTGGGAGGCTGAGGCAGGAAGATCACTGCAAGTTCAAGGCCAGTCTGGGCTACAAAGTGAGCTCAAGGCCAGCCTGAACTGCATAGCGAAACCCTGTCTCAAAAAAAAAAAAAAAAAAAAAGAGGAAAAGGCAGCATAAACAGATATTGTAGCCCTGATCAAACAACATAAAGGTTATCAGACACTGGGTCTGGAGGAATCAGCATAGTTTTTTTGAGAACAAGTTAAAACCTTCTAAACCGGAGTTTACAGCAGCTGCCAGCTTTTCAGGCTTTGGTATCTGTACATCCTTCCTCGAAACCTCGGGGTGGCTGATCTTTTTCCTTGAGGTTTACAGATGAAGATTTTGGGGAGAATATCAGAGTTCAAAGTTTCTAGCCCTGACAAAGTTTCTAGCCAGGAAAAAAAGGTTGAAGTGGATAGGATGCAATTTT